TCCTGCTGCTTTGGAATACTGGGATCTAACACGTTTTAATGTGGGCACTTCTGACCTGAAATCGGTGTTGGAGAGAATGAGGAATGTGGGCTGAGGGGAGAAGGGACACTTTGATAAACTGTCTCCAATATTTTTCCTTCCTGCACAACGCTGCTGGCCTGGGCCATTCCTGGCAGGCTGGATCAGGCTCCTGGAAGAATGTCCTTCAAGAGCACGTTTCCTTCCTCCAGCAAAGGAGAGGCCAGACCTGAATTCTTGGTGACGTGAAGGGAAATAAAGAGCCTCTCTCTCTTCCCCCTTCATTCAGTCTTTGCTCTTTACCTGTCAAGGGATGGTACTTGCCACTCAGCTTGTTTCTATCAGCAGATTCTGCCCTGGGCCAGACTCTTAAAAACGCTGTGACCAAACGAGCTCAGCCCCTACCCGTGCAATAGCGCCGGGTTTTCGGAGGGGAAAAATTCCTGGAACACGTGGGGAGGTTGTATTGTGTGGCTGGTCCTGGGGTCTTCTTGGAATAATTCTGCTTTATGCATTTAAGTGATACTCTTGCCTGCAACTGTCTGCCTTGGCTCGGACTCCAGCCCTGGAGGGATAGCAGAGTGGCGCTTTGGGGACCGGGGCTGCCGAGGGCTCTGCTTTCCCAGATAATCAGTCCGTTCCAGGACCGTTCCTGGCACCGAAAAACCACCCAGGAGCAGGGTTGCCTTGTTTCTGTACGATCTGAGGGTAACCAGAGTGGTTTGTATTTGGGTTTCTGTAGGTTTTGGGCCTCCCCGTGTAGACATGCATCAACGTGTGTTTGGACCAGGAGGGTGGTGAGGCTGGCGGGGGCTGAGCGATCCGAAGAAACAGCTGTGTTTCCTTCCAGAGCTTAAAATCCCGGAGCAGCTCAGGCCAGGGTTTGGCCAGCTCTGTTCCGATGCCAGGTTTGATCCTCGGTGCCTTCTTTAACAGCCAGAGCTTTCTATGACTCGAGACTGAAGATCTGTTATTTCTGTCCTCTGACTTACAAAAATAGTTTCTATGGCCAGTGCCCAAATAAATATTTATTGCAGCCAGTGACTGGATGTTTGACCTTCTCCAACACACGGGGGAGTTGTGAGACCTTAGGGGCGGGGAGCAGCACTTGTGTGGGCAAACAGCTTGCAGATAAAATGGGGTTTATTTCAAGAGATGAGCTGGATAAGGATCGAGCTTCTCGTGGGTGTTACATCCCTCGGTCCCGTCACGCAACCCGAGCCCAGCTCCTTTCCTGGGACCATGCAGTCCCTGCGGTGCTTTGGCCCGACACGAGTGTGGTGTGTGCACAGTGAGGTAGGTCTTGCAGAGGAAAGCTGGTGTTTCCCTCAGGGAAACTCCTGCAGTTTCCTGCAGAAACATCCCGTGCACAGCGGGGCTCCCTGGGGTCTTGGGGCCATTCAGGAGCGCAGCGCTGACGTGGGCTTGGGAGCTGCGGGTCAGGTGGTGTGGCGAGATGGGTGTGACTGGGGTTTTGGAGATCCCTGAACACGTTCCTCCTCGCTTTGTCCTCTTGGGTGCCCTCCAGGAAGGGAAAAGCACTCCGTAGCCTGCCTCGTAGCACAGCTCGCCGTCACCCGTGGCAGGCTGCAGCAGCAGCAAATAGGTTTGTATCAGGCTGATGCTTTCGGAATACTAAATGCTTCTACAGCCTCGTGCATGCTAATTTGTGGAGCAAGCCTGTTGGCTGTAGATTAAAAAGACATCCTGGCTGGGACAGGATGCTCTTGCCTTCCCAGGGAGGGTGTGATGCTGCCTTTGAGTGTCAGTGGTTCCCTCCCTCTCGCAGACGTTCACCTGCTGTCTGAAGTCGCTTTGCTTCAGCCTGGTGGGGGTTTCTCTGTTTGTCTCCTTCCACCTGTGACATGTGGGGTTTGATCAAGGCTCTTGTCTCGAAGCTTTATTCAAAATTCCTTTTAATACATCCCTTGTCTTTCTTGAGCAGCCTTCTCCGTGAGGGTAGGACACGTGCTGGAAATAAGAGCTCTCTGTGGCGCTGACTACATGTTCCTGCTTCAGGTAACGAGTTTCGGGAGTGGCTGAGCAGAAAAAGAGGTTGCTGTGCTAGTTGGGATGTAGAAAGATGCCTTAAATTCCTACATTAGGAATTTACACCTTGCCCAGGGTGAAAGGACATTGGGTGACGTTTCTGTACGGGCTGTCAGTACTGCCCCTCCAGTAGGATATTCGGATATTCCATTCTGGGGTTTCTAAGCATTGTCATAAACCTTTGGGATCCCTGGGAGTATAAGGACTTCCTTCTTGTCTCAGCCTGGATTGCGTTTGGGCTGAAAACCCCCCTCCTCTGCGCGTGGCTCTGCCTCCCAGTCCCCCCAGCAGGCGCTCGCACGCTTCCCTGTCTGTGCCGTGCAAGAACTGGCCCCAGCACGGCTGCTGCCTTGTGCCCCGCTGTGCCCCAGCGCACCCATCACCTCTCACCAGGTGCCTTCACATGCTCCACTCTCTCCCCTCCATCCACCCAAGCTCCCCAGCTCCAGGGGGGTTTCCCTGGCTGGGTTGCCATGGAAACTTCTCAATTCAGCATCTCGGATTGCTGCCTCTTCTCTCACCCGAGCCAGCGTGCGGCCGCTGCACACCACGCTGGCACGGGGGCTGTGTGCGTGGGGACAGTCCTGCACCCGTGCCAGCCCTCCTCATCCTCCTGTCTCCCCTGGGTGTGGAACCACCCCCAGCCCCGCTCGGAGGGGCTCAGCAGGACGTGCCCCTCTGCCTCCCACCCTGCAGGGCAGTTCTGTCCCGCCTTTACGCCGATGGGTCTGTAGGCACCTGCTTAGACTGGCTGCTTTGTGTGTGTTTAAGGAAATATTTGTCTGTTCCTGGTGCATTTTCCCTCATTTCTGCCCCTCACAGGGAGGAAGAGACGTCTGAGGAGTACTTCCCAGAAGTTTTGCAGGGAGAAGGGCGAGTCTGGAATCCTCCTAGATGGGATATATGGTATTTGATAAATCCTCTCCACTGGCAGTTCTGCTGAGCAAAGAAATGTGGAAATGGGGAGAGGTTTGGTAACACGGCTGTCACCTTCAGGGGCTGTCACCCCCTTCAGCCGTGGATGCTGTATCAGGCAGGAAAGCTCTGGATCCCTACGCTGAAGGAAAAGCAGCTGCAATGAAATAGTCTGGGGTGATCTTTGGGCCAGGCTTTCGATTTCTCTCTGCTGAGACAGCAGTGCTGCACTGGAGCTCGTGTTCCAGCGCTGCTGCTGCAGTCATTGCCAGCTCTGCCCTGGCAGGGGCTGCCCTGGGTGCACACCCACCATCTGTGTGTCTTTAACACGCCTCTACCTCCACCAAGTCCTTCACGCTGCCTGAGATCTCCCTGGTCCAGCCTGCCCTCTGTCAGCTGCTGCTTTACCTTTGGATGCTCTTTGCAAACACACACTCAGCTGTTCTGAAAGCCTTAAAAAAGCTGCTTAACAAGCTTTTCTACCAGGAATGTTTTTTTTCCCCTCCAAGCCCTTCTCTTGGGGCAGCTTGTGTGCAGCCCTGCCCCCCTGCCAAGTTAGCCAGTCGATGGCAGCTGGTGTGCTCTGCACACCCTCACTGCTGCCTCTGGTCCTCCTCCAGAGGGAAATACAGCGCAGGGCTTCCCGGCTGGGCAGCTGGATACTAAAGATTTGGCTCAAGAGAGCAGGCAGACAGGGAGGGGACGGGGCTGCCTGTCCCCAGACCTTGCCCGTGCAGCAGTCAGACCCCAACTTTGGGTGCTGCTGCTGGCAGGACCTCCTGGGTCAGCACTTCAAGCCTCAGCATTTTCCCTTTGCTTGCAGGGCAGGACTGATCCTGAACCTTGCAATGCTCCGTCGTAGTTAGGGCTGCTTCTCCATTCCAGGGCTCTCCTCCCAACTCCTTCCAGTTTCTTAGTTGAACCTTGACTTTCCCTGCTGCACCTTAAAGCTCTTCCCTGCCAGATTTTGCTGATTAAACTCCTTGTCCGTGGCACACCCTCATTAAGGGCTTGACTGCAGCTGCCCGGACGTGTCTTCACCCTGGGTATGACGTGCTTAACACTGCAACTTCTCTAGTTCCTCCCTGCCAGCATCAGCACTCCAAAAATGAGACAGAGGAAAGAAACACCTGGAATTTTTTTGTCTTCTATGCTTAGAAAACCTCCCTGCTGGCTCTGTTTCATTCTCACTCCCTGCAGCAGCTCTGTCTCCTGGGAACGCATCCCTGCATGACTTGCTTTGGATTCCTGTCAACTCTAACAGGGAGAGCAGTTGTCAAGGAGCAGAAGACGCTGCTCCGGCCTTGCCAAGAGAAGCTGTGAGCACAGCACCAGCCTGTTGCAGTGCCTCATCCCCAGCCCTTCATCCCAGCTCAGTACTTCCCAGTATCGTTCTTGAATTCCCAAACTCAAACATCACAAGCTGTGCTGCTCCCGTGTTGAGACCACAGGAGAGGTGGCACTGATGCCACCCATCTCTAGGTTCAGACACTGTTTTCATCTACCCATAACAAGGTCTGGACACCAGTATCTCCAGCCAGTAAGGCTAGAGCAAAATGTTTTCTGTCTGTTGCCTGCTGGGATTTGAAACCCTGTTAGCCCAGCCTTGGTGGAACAGAAGGCAGAGGCTATATACAGCATCCTCTCTCACACGTTCTTGTACCAGCCCTTGGGAAAAATAAGCTGGCAACAGGGTGAGGAGCTAATGGCGAGACAGAGAGGCTGCCCGGTTCTCTCCGGAGCACACAGTGCCACCCACGTGCAGACTGGAGGATGGGGTACGTGAGAAACTGGTGACGATTCCCGTTTGTGGCAGCCTGCGTGAGTCCCAGTGAATTTTGAAGGGGACATATTCCCTGGAATAGCCGGTGCTACAGCCTGCAGGGTCCCTCCCTGCACGCCACGGGGACAGACGACAGCGGCCTCCCAGCCCTTTTCACCTGGCAACTTCCTACAGCGGCATCCGAGGAAATCGAACTCGGTACCTTTGATTCTCACCTCCCAGCTCGGCTCAGCGGAGCCCAGCGGATGCAAACGGGGCGTCAGCGAGCGCCGACTGCAGCGTGCAGGGGCTGCTCCTGCAGATACCTGGTGCCAGAGCTGCCACGTCTCTGTGTCTGGAGTGTTGTTTGCTCTTACCACCAGCGTCGCATTTCCAGCATTATTCCAGCTGCTGCTTTTTTGGTAGGGTGGAGGGACGCTGGCGGAGGAGGTAGGACTTTGTGCAGAGATGATTAGTGCTGTAGCTCATGTGCTTTTCCCTCAGAGCAGAAACTGCCTTTGCACACCACGATCTAATAACAATAATAATTATAAATTACTCTGGGAAAGTGGATTGTGAACCTCACTGGATTTGGGGGGGTTTATTGCGTGGACGTTTTCCAAAACACACATTTAATTGCCTTTCTCTGGTGCACATGGAAATTGTCTTCCAGGGCGTGCACGTGGGGGGGTGCTGCACTCAGAGAGTGCTTGCCTGTGCTGTCAAGTGTAAACAGACCATTTCTGAACCAAAAATAACTTCTCCTCCGAGTAACAGAGCAGCTGATCGCTGCAGCCCAGATGCAGGAGCTCAAAAGGGTTAGGTCACCTATTTTTCATTAATGGTGCTACTTAATTACAAATTCCCCCCCAGTTTCATCCTTTGGAGATTCAAACCGAAGTGCCTGGTTGCGTTCCCTCCATCAATAACCTGCTTTAGTGTGTTCTCACAAAAATACAGATATCAAAGACAATCTGTTAAGTAACTTTGATGTGAGGCTGCCTAACAACACAACACGCATTGCCAGGGGGCTCTGCAGCAGCTTTTTTTGGGAAGAGAAAGATTTTTACTTCTTGTTTAAAATCACTCAACGGACTTAGAGTATTAACCAGCCTGACCTGTGCCAGCTTTTTCTTCTCTTGGCTCTCCAGGCACCTCGTAGATGTTAGTAATTGAAGTCCAACAGTCCTTCAGGGAGGGTAATTATCTACTTTGTGGAGAAGGAGGAATCAAAGCCTGGAGAGGCCAGGGAGTTTGCAGAGAGAGCCAGCGGCAGAGCCTTTGGTGGTCTGCCACTCTGCCTGCCAGGTCAGCTCTAGGTCTGGACTGGATTTGCAGTCCTGCTCAGCCTGGGAGGCCTATATTGGCATCTGCCAGATGGAGTTTGCGTTAGACACATCCTTTTTCTGAGGCTCTATTATTGGCACGTCCTGTAATAGCAAAGCTTCATTTCCTCTTGCTGAGCTGGTCAGAAGGACCTTGTCTTGGGTTGGATTCAGAGCAGAGAATCTCACCTTCCTGCTGTTCATCAGAACATCATGCAAAGAGGGGAAAGTTGCACGATTTTTTACTTGTTCATCCTGATCTCATACGTGAACCATTTTTCCCATGTTCCCTTTATTAATGTTCTGTCTGGGTTTTCTATGAATAATTAAGGTCCTCGTTTGCCAAAAGAATTAGATCTCTCAAGGTACCTGCAATCAGTAGCATCTCTCCTCGAGCAAGGCAGGCAGTTATTTAGTTGCTGACAGTAATTGTTATCGTAAGGCAGAAGCAAACACACAACTGCAGCCTGGCCATTCAGCGCTGGCTTTTGAAACATGACATTTTCTCATTTTCTCCTTTTGAAGCAAGAGAAGCACGAACACGGAAGGGGCGAGGGTTGGGAAGTGCGTGGCGGGGCCGTGTTAGAGTGCTGCTGTTCTGAAACACAATCCAAGTCCTTTTTAAACGCTCACTAGAGCGGGGCAGATGGAATTAGTGCTTTGCTGCTACACTGTCTACAGTAGGGCTGTCTCATTGCTAACTGCAGATTTCGGGCATTTGTGGAAATAGCTGGTGATGAATGGGTTTTCATTAGCCTAGAAGAAGGGAAGGCTGCAACAGAAAGTGCCTCCCGGAACCATCCATCACACTGTCCTGCAATGCCTCAATAAAAGACTTTTAACAAATTCTGAGCACAGGACAGATCTCATCAAAAAGCCACTATTCAGATTGTTCTGGTAAGGAAGAGAATTGCAACCAGCACCCGTGGGGATGAGTGTAAAGGAAAAGGGGCTCTGTTCCTGGGTCCTGACAGTGGAAGAGGGAAGGAGCACAGCCAGGATAGCTGACAGCGGCACGCAGCTAAAGCATGCAGAGTACCAGTGGCCTCAAGGTGGGCTGTGTGCAGGGAGACACCAGCCAGCATCCTGCGAGGGACAGGGCAGCTCTGATGGCAAAGCTTCCAGAGGCAGACAGTGCTGCTTGTTTGCAATGAACAGGCTGTTCAGAAAGTTTAGGGAATGGGCTACGTTTGTCCCTACTGCAGAAGCGTTGATTTCACAAGAGCTGAGTGGAAGAATTCCCACTTAACAATATGACTGGGTCTAATACTTCCCCCACTAGGCAGAAACACAACTTCCAGGGGGTTGCACCTCCTCAGGATATCATATATTGGGCTGCTGAGTCTCGAGAGGAGGCACTATTTCTGGATCCTTGCATGGCCAGTGCATAGCACCCCCTTTTTCTTGGTACCCAGATGCCCTACCCACAGTTCAGAGCTCAACAACACTCTCAACGTTGGTTTAACACACCATGATGATGAGGAGAGACCTGGGGAGCTGGGACTGCTTCCACAGGCACCTTGTGTGTGGTCTCACCTGGGCCTTGGCTTCATATTGGACATGAGGATAAGCAGCAGCCTAGAACTTGTGCTTTTTCATAGCATTGTGGTTTTTCCATGGCATTTTTTTTAAAGAGTCTGGCCCTGGCTGGGTCTCAGCCTGACATGAAGAGGTTGAACACTGTGGGAAATGGAGAGCTTCCTGCAGGAGTGGAAGATTAGCTCCACGTTTCCATATATTTGTGACTTGCTGCATGACGTGTAGACCTTCTTGCACTCAATCAAGACTGTCAATGAGTCAGCTGTCTTTTCTGTAGATCTGCTGGAGTTCTCCAGTGATGCCAGGTTGTGCTTCGAGGATATAAAATGCATAAAGGACAAGAGCCTTAAAGAGCCTCAGAGCTGGGTCTCACGCTGCACTGCTGCCTGACTCGGGTCAGAGCAGGTCCTGGGGAGAGCGGCGGCAGCGCGGCGCTCCACGAAGCTGTAGGAGCTGCTGTCTCAGCTGAGCACCACGCAGCAGCTTGCGTCTGCCCCAGCTCAGAGTCCTGCGGGGATGGGCAGCAGCTTGATTCTGGTCCTCCCTCTCACTTCTTGGGAAGGTCTGAGCGTGGCCTCTCTCGGGAGAGATGACTCACGCAGGCACGGCACGCACGGGGCTGGTCAGCCCCATCCATGGTGCCAAGACACCGGGCTACGAAACGGTCACTGCTGGAATTTAAGGATCCATACCCACCTCCACCTTGTGGGTCGCAGCCACAGAAGGGTGGCATGAGAAGGCAGTAGTACAGAACATAAGCAACTTCTGCTCGACTTACTTCCTCCCATACTCGCAAATCCCACCCTCCTCCCTCCGTGTTACAGTGACGAAGATGCAAAGCAAACACACCTTTCTTGGAGCTGATCTCTATTTCAAAAGAAGGCTGCTCCTGTAGGAATAAAATATGAACACTGGCATGGGGTGGTAAAGTCGTCCTTAGAAATTTTTGCCACCCAGTTACTTCCTTCCCTTCTTAAACACCCTGAAACAAATATTACTACAGTAGCTCCAGCCTCATACACTTGTGAGAACACTTCATGCAAAAAAAAAAAAAAAAAGTTGGGGAGGGAGGGAAGAAAGTAAAAACTAACAAAAAAAAAACAACCCCAAAACAAAAAAGCCCTTCCCTGGCTATGCAGGTCTGGAAATCCCGATGTTTCCTCATCAGCCCTGGGAGAGGGAAGGGCTTTGCCTAGACACAATCCAGCACAGGGTCACCAGCAGTTCTCCACTCCGGCAGATTCCCGAGGTGCCAGGGCTGATCCCGCCCGGACCCGCAGGCAGTGCGTGGAAGCTGTGGGTTCCTCTCGTGGTCACCAGGCGAGCGGCCGGGAAGGTCCCGAGGAGCCGCGCTGCCTTTCCGCAGCTCTGCCACGTCGGGCTGGGTGCGGGGAGGGCAGGACTTGGCAGCCAGTGCTTGCCACGTACCAGAGATTCTGCAGACTTGTGAAACCTTCCCAGGATTACCGCTGTCTTTGCCTAACTTATAGCAGCAAAGAGGGCAAAAAACCAACAACAAAATCCAAATCCATCAACGCTCCTGTGAGGTTACTAACTACTTGTACACAGACACTGCTTCACCGTTCCGCGCGGGGCTCAGCATGCTCCTAGACAACTACGGGGGCGCAGCGGGTGCCAGGGACACACACACAACTTTCCAGGTTTCCGTGGTGCCTCCCTCGGGCATTGCTCAACTCCTATCACTAGACAACATCTACGATAACTCACAAGCTTCCCACAGGCCCCGCAGGGCACTGGTCCCAGCATGCTCCAAAAGCCTCCTGCTCTCGTTTAACCTGGCCAAGCGCGGCAAGCTGGGACCTGTACCCTTCACAAGGAATACTGCTTGGCTGACACAGAGCAGGACATCTCTGTGGACTGTTTCCCAATAAAAATAAAGAAGAAAAAAAAAGACAAACCAAGAGCAACTGTGATTTGCTCCATTTAATTTCAATTAACTGCAGCCCTTAGAGGCCAGGAGAGATGCCAATCTAGCAGTGTGTTGGCCATCCCCTCGGGGATGTCCCATTTCTCAAATGTCCCTTTCCCAACCAAGCCTCTACTCTTCTCAGCTTAAAGGAGTTTTAACAACTCATTAAATCCCACTGTGTTAAACTAATAAGACCTTTAGAACCTGCAGTTCCTTTTCCTCTGGAGGATGCGACTGAACAGTGGAAAGGACACACGGTCAGACAAGTTCCCTTCTCTGCTACCTCTGGAAGCTCCTGACAGTGACCAGTCTTACTGGATCCTGTTAGAAAGACACGACGCAGTTAGGGCTGGGGAAGAGGAAAAGGAACAACTGTTGTCCTCGGTGTGCCAGAACTCCTCCCTCCCGAGGTGGGGAAACAGGCAGCTTATTTGCAAAAGGCAAGTGGTTTCCTAAAAAACTACTGAAAAAAACACGAAGGCTGCTCAGCCCCTTCTCCTAGAAAACTGTAAAAATGTTGGGACACAGTGTGGCAGCAGGGAGGCTGGGAAGGCAGCACGGGGACAGCTGCTGTCTCTGGACCATGCCACAGCCATGGCAGGGTCCAGAGAGGTTTGGCTGAGACTCGTAGACGCTCCCTGTAGAGGATTCAGGAGCTCAGGTCCTCTCTGCCCTGTCTGGGTGTGCAGTGGGCAGTAAGTGGCTGTGGCTGATCTCCACACTGTCCAAGCAGCTGCTGGTATGTTGGTGTATCGTGCCCAAACAGACCTGGAGGCTGTTCTGTGACCGTAACACTGCTGTCAGTGACCAGTCCCAGCTCGGGCACCCCTCCTCCGGAGGTGCCACCTTTGAGCGCGCTGCTGCTCAGTTGCTCTCTACCAGCTTGGCTAGTCCCTGACGGATCTCACTGAGCTCGAATATCTTCACATCCATTATCTCTGCCACCTTGGTGACCTCGTTCTGGATCTTCTCCCTCTCGGCCAGGGTATCCGCCAACGTCTGCTCAGCAAGGTGAAGGCGTCGCTCCAGTTCTGCATTACGTGCCTCCAGTTCCTGCCAAAGGACATGCGTGCAGTGAGGTGGCTGCCCCAGCACCGACACACGCTGCTCAGAGACCAGCACCCTTATCTCCACAAAACAGCCCTGCTGGCACCCCAGCGCCAGGCCACCCACACCCAGCCAGCCCGGTTTCCATCAGCTCTTTCATGGAGGGACCTCCCTATCTCGAGCCATGGCACCGCGGCACGCACGTGCGTGTGAGCACACGTTCCCAAACCCGGGCATCTGCCCACAGTTTGCCAAGGCGCTATAAACGCAGATCTCCTCACACGCCCATCATCTCCAGGCCTGACAGCGTTTGGAGATATTACTCTGCCATGAAAGTCAGTGCCTGTGTCTGGGGGTGAGCCCCGCAGATGGCCTCGTTCAGCGGCTCGGAGGTCCACACAGGCAGGCAGTGCCCCCCGAGACTGCACAACAGATCGTGCTTCCATCTGTCCTTGCCCTGAGGGGCAGAGCAGCTTGCATCCCTCCTGCCAGCCAGACTGAGTCAGAGCTATGCTCCTCAGCCATCCCTGGCCATCCAGCAAGCGAAGCAGGACTTCTGAGAGATGGAGGCTCACAGGACATCGCGGCTCCTGCTCATGGTCCCATATCAGGGGCTGCTGCGAGCGCTAGAGGGGAGTACGTGAAGGCTGGGTTTGCTGTTGCCTACTGATTGTGCCTCATGTCACACCTCCGAGAGATACAGGGAGGGTGGAAGAAGGCAGAGACATAGGCAAGGACCTGTTCCCATCATCCAGAGGCAGACAGGCACGACAGCTCTGCGGCATTCACTCTTTAGCTCAAAGAAGAAACGGGGACGTATCTCTCTACTCCAAGTGCAGAGGTGTCCCAGATCTGCCATCCTTACCTGCAGCTTCTGCAGCGTCTCCTCACGCTCGCCCTCTGCTTCCCATCTGCTACACTTCTGGCTCTTCAGCATCTGAATCTCCTGAAAGACAAGGAGGGAGAGCGTCATGTCCGATCCACCCCTGTCTCAGCAGGGCCAGCTTCCACCACATACCCCAACCAAGGCCCCTTTCCTCACTCCAAGGATCACATAACCACACTCCGCTCCAAAGTTTAATACCTCCCTTTCTAACCTTCTACTTCTGCTGTACCTACTGCCTCCCTTAGAGCCCCTAGTCCTCAATCAAGATGACTGGCTGAGGGCCAGCAAGGCTCAGTGGTCTCTGCACCTGGCTGCATCCTTGCTTAAGATCTGATCCCAGGCTCTTGGGGCCAGGGTCCCTGCAGAGCTGTTGGGTGACCCCAGCCTCCGGCTTTGCTGTGCTTCCTGGGGTATTACCTCGTCTTTAGCCTTGATCAGTAGTTCCAGCTCCTCCAGGGTTTGGCTCAGCTCTTCCTTGTTGTTCTCACTGGAGGAATCGTGAGCCCCCTGTGACTCCAGTTCTGCCACCTACATGGAAGCGAGCACAGGGAGGCATGCTCAGAAACACAGGAGTGTCCTCACACCTTATCCCCCATGGTCATTCTCTGCCATGTTTTGGCTTCCTTGCAAATCCAACTGGGCTTACAACAGGATAGCAGCTCCCACCCTGGGGCTGTGAGGAAAAAACACTCTCTTTCTGCTCTGTTTAAATCACACACACAAACACACTGCGGTGAAACTCCTTCTAGAGACTGTCTCTGCTTTCTCCTGCACTTCCAGCAAAGCTCGACTGGCTGACGTCAGGCACACGTGCCTGCGACCCAAAGCAATGGCGAGATCCAGCTCCCTCAGCATCCCAGGGCAGATTGCCGAGGGCAAGGGAGTTCCTGCAGCTCAGCCACAGCAGAGCTGGGAGGAAGGGCTTGCCCAAGCGCACTCCTCATCCCTGAAAAATTCAGCCCAGTGGCTTAGATTATTCATGAAAGTGATTCATTTTTCCAAAGTTCCTCAGAAGGTTGGCAGCAGCTGCTCCTGGGGCCCAAGCTCTCATAGGGCCTGCCCTGAGCTCTGCAAGTGCAGCTCCAGCGATGAAGACCCCCAGGCAGACAGGGCTCAGGCCCCGGTGTGGCACTTTCCCACGAGCAGGGGCAGCAGGGCAGCGTGCCAGGGTCCGTGGGAACAGAGGCTGTGAGCTGTCAGGCTCATGGGGTCATGGCCAGAATCCAACCAGCTCCGGTTTAGGGACATTAATTTAGATGTTTCACTAAGTGACAGTTTCTTCTGTGATTCTGCAAAGTCCCCTGTGGTTGCCCTTCACCCCAGGCTCACGAAATCCTCCCTCCTGGCTGTGAGAACAGCCACGAACCAGCTGAGTAGGCACAGAGCAGCCTAATGCAGCCAGCCCCAAAACCACACGTAGACGTATGCACAACGCAGATCTCTGCTACACCTGGGGCAGGCTCCTGCTGCAGAGGAGAAATTTTGTTCCATGCAGCTCTTTGACTGCCTGACTGCAGCCCAGAGAACGAGCAATGGGCACGGTGAATCCCGGGGGACGGCTGTTTGCTGCACAGACTGGCCACACAACAGCCATCGAGTGGCAACAGCTGTTCATTGCCAGAAATCCCTGCTGCCTTTTGAAGGAGCTATCTCAGAGTGAAATGGCTTTAAGCTGCCGTCTCCAGGGCTCCAGAATCCCTTCCCAGCCAAACCCCAACTGTCCTAAAAGCCTTTCCCAAGTACTCTGCAGTTCTTCCCTCCCAACAAACCCAGCCGTGTGACTGTCACTCCTCTGCCCAGATGCACACAGGCCTCCTCGGTTGATCTGTGACCTCCTGGACATGACGTAGGTCGAAAGATCCCATTATCCAAGCGAACAAGGGCTTGTTTGTACCGCGCCACCCGGGATTCATGATGCTGCAACTTGGATTCGAGCTAATTATAGCAGACAGAGCAATCTTCATCCTTCCTGTCAGCAGCCACAAGGCTGCCCTGATGCCCAGCTCAGGGGGAGCATGGACCTTCTCCGGTATTGCTGGCAGCTGGGACATACCCCCAGAAAACCTGCAGGGAAGCCGGTACTCTGACTTTGTGCTCTGGTTTCCTCCCTTTATCCACAGGGACTCAGCACACTCCCGACTTGCTCTGCAGAAAACAGAAGCTCTTATGAGAGCTCCCTAGTTACACGGCCTTATTCCTTGACATGTTTTCCCTGCCAGGCTCATGCAGCATCCTGGATTTCCATCCCATCTCCTGCTGACACCCACGGAAACTGATGGGAGAATGGGGTCAAGGGCACCATCTGGCTCTAGGATGGGGCTTCCTCTGACCCGCTCTGCAAGGGCCCTCCTGTGCTCACCCGCTGCCGCAGCGTTTCCGTCTCCTCCTGATAAGCAGCCAGCTGCTTCTTCCACTGGTCCACGTTGGCGTTGGCTTCATGGAGAGCAGCCACGAGCTTGTTGTTGTTGTCCTGGAGGCTGAAGAATTCAGCCTCCCACTGGACCTCGCTCACCGAACTGTGGGAGAGAACAGAGCAAGTGTGCAGGAGAGCGTAAGAGAGTCTCAGCGTGAAGGTTCCTTCCCCCAGTGCTGACATACACTGAAACCATGCTCTTGGAAGTGCTGGGCAGCTCCCTGCTTTTCCACAGTTTTCTATTTTGCTTTCATATCGCTTCCCAAATTTAAATGCTTCTTCCAGCCCTGAATCTGCATCTCCTTCCTTTATCCCTGGATAATATTAGACTTTGAGGCCACGTGTGCTTGCTTGACACTGCAGAAACCACGTTGTGAGACTAATGGGGTGGGGAAGATCCAGCTGCTATAACGGAGTTTTGCCATGTGGGACTGTGAATCCGTTTTTAAAATCCTTGTTAGATCCGAGTTTGCTCTGACTAAAGCCCTGCCACCCCAGACTCAGGAGAAGGTAGCAAGGGACTCTTGCTTTTGATTTAAAAAATATTCTAAGTGTTCAGCTGGGAGCTCAACAGGAGCCACAGGGCAGAATCCAGCCCAGAGTCTTTTGAACAGACAAAGACCGGAAGCAGCATGAACTTTGCTAGAATCATCAGGGAATTAACACAAATGCAGCCCTGGGCCAGCTGGAAAAGCGTGAACATCTTCTGGTATCACAAACTACTGATCTGTAGATAACTGGCATCAACTCATCCTCGCTGTGGGCACACAGCATTCTCCTTCCCACATGACCTGAAGGGCAGATTGCACCTCCAACCTGGAATAACCTTCTACTGGGAAGAGGGGAAATTGGTACAGTGGAGGGTTTGAGCAGCAGCAGACGTGGGGCATCACTCAGCTAAAGAAGGAGCATTGGATCAAAAGCATTTGGAATGAGGCCACTCAATCATTCAAGGTCCCTGTGAGCACTGGGATGACAGGGACATGCACCAAATCCTGCCAGAATACACAGTTTAGGGGTCAGAAGCAGAGAGCACTTGTGGCAGCCTCACCCTTCTGAAAGCATCTTCTTCAGCCGCTCCTTCTCTGTTGTTATCTCGACATCTGCACTTTGGCTCCTGAACAGCTTATCTTCTCCTGGCCCGTTGGAGCTGATGATGGGGCTGGGAAGTACCTGGGGGATGAGGAAGAGGTGGGTATCAAGACAGGCCATGGGGCCACAAGGTCTCTGCAAACTCGTTCACAGGGCTGGTTCTCAGTCCCTGCAGCCTCGTGACTGGCGTTCAGTCCTACCTCTCAGGTACTGCTGTGCTTGTCTATGGCATGAGGTCCTCACGTACGGCTCAGCAGCACCAGCCATGGCATAGCAATGACTTTGGAAGCTGTGTGGACATGGGGCTTTCTCTTGGATAGGTAGGTTCGAGCTTAGCGCTTCCAGCAGCTGCCCTGCTGCCACATTCTCCCTCTCCCTGTCTCCACGCCATGCTGGGGCAGCCATCCCAGTGCACAGACACTCCAAGCAGGTGGGCTCACAGCTTGCATGCACCAGCTAGTCCTCCCTCCCAACTTGAGGTACTGGATTCTCCGTCCCTCAACTTGGCCTTGACAAATGCCAGCGATGTTACGGCCCGTAACCCGAGTCCCACAGCTGTGCACAACACTCCGAGCTGCTCAAGCTGCCCGTTTCAGGGTTTTGCTAAATTCTTAATAGGATTTTCTTGCTGGTTCTCAGAGCAGCGGAAAGACTTAATAAACTCGAAACACAGACCTGCCAGGCCACCTGGGTTCAGTCACAAGTCCAGCTTCTGTACCTTGAATTAAGACACCAGGTGCCATTGGGAGAGTGTTTTTCAGGCTCATGGGAGGGAAACTCTGCTGTTGCTCAGATGACTGCGGCACCCACTTGCCAAAGATGTGGGAGAAGAAACTCACAGCCCTTGCACCAAAGTATACCCTTCTCTATGGCTCCATATTCCTCTGTACATCAGAGCTGGCAGAGACAAACAATGCATCTCTCAGGCTGGAGGGAACCTGCAGAGGTGAACATGCAGAAGCTGAAGCAGACTTTACATCCTCCAGCCCCTCCAGAAGACCCCTGGCTGCACAGTCTCCTCTCACAGCAGGGCAGAAGCTTGGCACTGACAGGGCAAACTGGTCTATAAAAAGACTCTCTGAGCAACGAGTCTCTGGGATCCTAAGTTGGAGGCTGTGAGACCAGGTGGCTGGTGAGCCTGCTGGAGTTGATAGGTAGCCCTCAAATGCCCGCCGTAAGGACAGCCACCTGCCTTCGGAGTCGGCTGACACCTATAAATAGAGCCAGGCAGGGCCATGAGATGTATTGAACACCAGCTTCATGAAGCCTTCCGGAGAGGGAGTGAGAAGTGAGACCTGCAGAACACAACCCTGCCTCACCTTTACCAAAAGGTGGGGAAACTGAGGCAGGGAAAGGGCAGAAGTTTCCTGTTGTGGTGTGTTGAGCCCCTGTGAGTCCAGCTGAAACTAATGAGAGCTGAAAATGCTCCACACAGTCTTGTTGCTTACATTATACTCGGTGATGGGGATGCTAAATGGGATGGGGATTGGCTTAAAAGATACTATAGGACAGAAGAGAGCTGCTATCCTGGGATTTCCCCAGCTCTGAAAATGTGAAGCGTAAGTAAACTAGTGCAGATGCAGAAAATGAGGGAGCCTTGATTTAATTTCAGGAGACAGATCTGCTCTCTGCTCACTTGCAAACAGAAACACAATCAATTATTCAAGGATGAAGCTCATGTTTGAAGCTCTACTAATGTAGAGACTGCGACTCAGCAGTGGGATGGTGGGAGAAGGGATGATGGGCTGATGTATGTACAGGCTGGGGAAGGCAGGACGAGATCTGCACGCCCCCATGGCAGGGGACACTGCATACAGAGAGGGTGCCAGGGAGGGTGCCCAGGACCCCCAGCAACAGGAGCTGTTCATGTCATGTCCGAGCTCTCCCACCGAGAGGCGAGCCAGGTGGGATGGGAAGAGTGAGCGTGGGTTCCATTGTGGCAGTTTTAGCACTGCTGAGTCAGGTAAGAAGAACGAGCAGAGCCTTAGATCACTTCCCTGATCTGTGCTTAACCTTCACCTTCTGACCTCCTCACCCCTTCTGCTGCAAGTTGCCGTCGCAGCACAGGGGAGATGAACGTGTCCTGTTGTGGCACCTGGTGAGTTCTGCCTGGTGCAACAGGATAAGAGGGACTATCTCTACTCCCAGCCTCCATCTCCTGGCCAGGGGAGCTAGGAGATGGAGGCTGCAGCTGGCCATGAATCTCAGTCTTAGGCAATTATTATTGACCAGAGTCTTGCCTTTTACCTAAAACTTTGGTTGTGCTATGGATGCTCTACTCTACTCTCTTCTTCATTTGCCACCCATTAGGACTTGGCTTAGAGTTGGCAGGAGCCAAAAGCTAGGCAGATTTTCCCTGTTTTTGCACCCCACATGACGTTTCCAGTCTCTGCCACCCCCTCTTTTCCCTGCAGGCCAAGGTACTGTTCAGGTTCCCTCCTCCTCCTCTGCTGCCATTCCATCTGCACTCGACCCAGAGAACGCAGTGTCCTCCATCCTACAGCTCTGCTCCTACTGCCAGGAGCTCTAGGAAATGCAGAATCACCTCTGGAGTGAGCTATTTGGGAGGGCAACCTCCCCATCAGCACTGAACTGCTTCACCACGGGGAAAAAGCAGGGTAGAGTTCTCCACATCTTATCCTCTCTCCTCCATCCCACTGCTGCTGGAGCTGCTTTAGCTGTACAGGGAGAAAGGTAACAATTGCAAGAGCAACACGCGTGAGAATGATCTGGGATGGGCTTAAGCTTTCTAGCTTGCTCTCCTGGGGGAAAGAAAATTGAATGACTGGCTGTCGTGCGTGCAGTTCCACCTTAGTGGAGAGTTCCCAAGGGGAAGAGTGATTTCTACTCTCATAACACAGCTGCTCTTCTACAGTGGAAATACGACAGAAACAGAAGTCTGGCCACGACTCCTCAGTCACCAGCTCTAAGAAATCAGTTTGTCTTTCCACAGTCCCCCATCACCTATCAGAGATACTTGGAGAAGAACCCCCTGCAGCCCCAGAAGAGGAAGAAAAATGGTTGGAAATGCCACCTGTCTTCCTTCCTATGGTCTTCAACCAGCCAACATACACTGCATGCTGCTTGCCTGTTATTGTCACACTGAGCCCAACCACCACAACAAAAAAAACCCGTCCTCCAGCATGGCTTTATAAGACAGACATCAAATGGTTTTGATAGTTTAACTCGCAAAGAGGGAGGAGTGTGAACCTTCCCAGGAGCTCCACTTAAATGCTAATTAGTTAATCTACTTCATGTGTTTCAGTAGAGTGACCTCAGGGCCACAGGTGTCATCAAAACGTGAAGCTCCAACCTCAGCAACCGGCAAGGAAGGTCTCAGAGAGAAAGGGAAGAAAGCAAGAAGGTCCCAGAGCTCAGCACGGTGGCTGTTTTCCCCAGCCATGGTCACTCTGCAGGGAGCTTCACCACATCCCTTTCCAAGCGTTACCTGGTGAGATGTGATGTTCAGGGCAGGGTTGGTCAGCTCTGTTTTATCCTGGGACTTCTCCCTTGCCAAACGGGCTGCTTCTTTCACTTCCTGAAACTTCTCTGCGAACTAGAGGGGAGCAGAAAAGTCACTCTGGTGCTACGCTGAAATGCAGAACAAACTTGAACTGATGTCTGGGTTACTCCTCCTCCCTTTGCTGCTTCATTCAACATGCTTTTTAATTTCTCTTCAACTAATAAAATTCAGGGAATACTCCCTTGCCCATGATTCTGACACTCAAGGCTGTGGGATCAGCTAAGCAGCAATGATGGGAATTGAGCCCAAAGAAGTCCTAATTAAATTTGTGATGCTCAAAACACTCTGCACGTATTACCTTAAAGCTCTTCCTAGCATCTTCACATCTTGCATTAGACTTTAGCACAGTGAGAACAGCATTACATCAGGTTCCCAAAGTCTTTTCTCCAGGGACTGACCTCCCCTTCAGGGTTTCAGGGACATTCTCCCTCCTAGGATCAGATTTCTGCCAGCACCTGCCGTGTTACCTGGGATAGATGTTGCTCCGAAGCAAAGCCCAGCCCATAGACTGTGTTGGCTCGGCTGTCTGCCCATTGTCCGAACTTCTGGGATGTCTTTGTGAAGGTCATGTTGGGGGTAATGGTGCTGTTGATGATTGCCTGCAGAGAGGGGCAACAAGGAGTCAGAGAAAACTCTGTCCTGCTGCCCTGGGGTGACAGTGTGGGATCGACCACTATAATCCCTGCACACTCTAGGAACTAGGGGTAGAAACTCTGCCTTTTAATCTATAAGATAACAGTGCTGGCTTCTTGTGACCAAAAGTCTTTCTTGTCTGGCTACAGGACACGAACAAACCTCAATCACCCTGTCTACTGAAAAAAAAAACAAAAAAAAGCCCCAGAATCATCAGTTGCATTGGGCTTCCATTACTGGAAAAAAAAGATAAGAGACAATGTGTCTCTGGGGACTGAATAACTTTCTGATGTTCTCCATTTTCATGGCAAGTAAGAAAAAGAGGAAAAAAGAAAAGCTTAAATAGCAGTCAGGACTAGCTATTACGAAACACTCTCTGCTGGTTAGGGCAGCAACAAAACGAACTGCCTGGGAAGACTGCCGAATGTCTGCCATCGGAGGTCTTCAAGAATAAGTCAGGAAAATGCCTATCAAGAACAGTTTAGGGAGAGTTAATCGCATTTTGTGGAAGGGACTGGACAGACTACCCCTCCGAGACTCCCCCAACCTCTGCCTGTCATTTCACTGTATCTACAGGGCTTGTTCCAGCACAGGATAAAGGCTCTCAGAAAAAGCTTGTGTTCTGCATTCTTGCAGGGGACAGGAAGCGAGAAGAGAGTGGGGCAGGGTTGGACAACATCAGACCCGAGGGTACATTTTTCATCATCACGGATTCTACTGTCTAACACTAAATACACTCGAGCGTGGAGGCAATGTTTTACCTGTGGTGAAGATGGTGGAGTGCCCATGCTGAGAACTGAGCAACCTGACACCAAAAACCATCCACCCCAGAACCACAACCTGCTGTCAACCTGTGCGATGCCGTCAGCAAACACCCCCTACCTTGGTGCCCCCCACGCTGATGATCCGGTACACATTGCGCGTGGCATCGTAGAAATAGGAGACAGTCAAAGCGTGCTTGCTGGCCGGGATCCAGTTCCGTTTGGTGGCAGGGTCAATCTGGAAGACATGGGCCCTGGTGCTGAAGATTGGCTGCTCCCTGCAAGAGAAGCGAACAGGGCTGTCAGGGCAGAGGGGCAGCCGAGCAGCGGGGGAAGCGCATCGGCTTCCTGGCACTCGTGTTGCATTGTGCAGCGCCAGCAGCACTTCTGCTGCTCGCCCTGTCTCTGGGGATCCGAGGCACGAGGTGCTGAGCAGTGCAGCCCCCGAGGACGCAGCATCTCTCCGCCAGCAGCCCTTTGCTGAGCCTCTCTGCAGGGAGTAGCAGCTCCCCACTGTCTGGGCTGGTATCATCTACTGTCCCTTCTTATCAGTGGAGTCACGACCCAAGCTCTCTGTCATTCTGTGAGTTGATTTCCCAAGACCTCTGGGCTTCTCCGTGCTCTCCGCAGGAGCCCTCCACACCCTTGGCACTCTTCTGAAGCATTTTAGAAGCCAGGGGACCACCAGCTGATGACCCAGCAACGTAAAAGCCTATGGCTGTTTATGCTTCCTATTTGCACATCGTCCGTGCAGCATGACGCCAGCAGCACTGCACACTAGTGACCTTGGTCTATGAAAATACCCTTGGCACAATAACAAAGCTACCAAGGGTGTTTAACTACAGGTAGAGGTTTTTACCTTCCTCTAGAGCTTCTCTGCTCTCCTCTGCAGCCTTCAGACATTTCCAAATGTCACAGCCTGGTCATTCCAGCAATAACAGACTATGCCCTCAGGTGAGTAGGTCTTACCCAAGGATGGGCATGCAACTTGCAAGCAGAAGCACAAATAGGACATCACAGTTTCATGTTTGGGCACACCTGATGGTCCTTCACACTGGTGTGGCAGAGTTATGCTAATGACTAGGGGTTATATTATTTTTAGCCTGACTTGAAGCTTTCTTTCACCATCCCTTGGCACCTTAGTGGTCAGTTCATGGCAACTTCACCAAGTATATGATTTCTCTGGCTGCTGCGTTATTTGTACTTCTCAGGGTATCTCCAAGCTGAAGCTCTAGGGAAACGGAGGGATGGAGGATGTGTCTGGGATGTGAGCACAAAAAGCGCCTTCCCCTCGGCACAGCTCTTCCTCCCTTGACTAATGCCTGGGAAGCGCATCCTGCAGTGAGAGGTCACACGGCAGGATTCAAAGCAAGTCTCTTAACAATGAATCAAAGGAAACACTTCGCCACGCAACGTGCAGCTGCTGCAAGAAAGCACTGAACCAAGCACTGCCCGGATTTTGGAATCAGTAATATCTGAGCTGCAATAAGGAGCTGAATCTCAGGCATCGGGATGTAACTTGAGTGTTTCAGGAGGCAGGAAGGAATGTTTCCGTGACACAACAGTCCAGGTGCATCAGGGCTTGGGGTCTGCATTTGACTTGGGTTAAAACCCAAGGCACTGGCTATTGCCACACTCCTTACCCAAACATAGTGAAGACCGATGTGGCTGGAAACATCCCACACGACAGCTGCAAACACGGCATAGTCACAGTCCTGCCACCTGCGAGCTCAAAAATCCAGACATTTGTATTTCCTCCCCATTCCCAGTCCTCACAGCTGCAGTGAGCAGGCCTTCCCATCAATCCCAAGACAACCGTACCTGGTGCTTTCTAAATCCATTACCAAAACTTAGGAAGGAAATAAAATGCTCCCTGCTACCTCCCAGTTTCAAGCCATGTTCCCAGGTTACAGCCCTGACTCAAATCCCTTGTTCAGATGCAGACTGCATGAAGGTCTAAACCAGCCCCTTCTCAGCATCCTCTCTGCTTGGTTTCATTCAGCCACAGTCTGGTTTTGGAATGATTTCATTTCATAGATTTGAAAAAGACCTTAGAGATCATCCAGTCCAACCATCCCTAATCTCCCATTAAACCATATCCCTATCCAAATAGATAGATTCAAATTTTCCAGGCTCCACTAACAGATACTAAAAGGATAAGTTGTGATCCATTGAAATTGAGATGCAGTAGCTACAGAGTAGGGGAAAACTAATGTTTCAGCAGCTCAACCCCCATGTCCTGAGCTGGTGTCAGAAAGAACAGAGGAAGGACGTTACCTAGTCGTTGACATTTGTTAGTAAGAAGGGTAAGACAGACTACAGCCCGTGGAGTTAGTACGTGTCTCCTCCAACAGCTTCCTTCTCAGGTCTCCTAGCTGGACTGAGGCTCCTTTCTGGTTTTGCCTCCACAGTGATTCATTTCCTAGCGATGGAAAAGTCAGCTGTTATTTATCACACAGAGCACAGCCGAGCGTTCAACCAGGCAGCGTTCAGGGGCTTCGTTTGTCCCAAACTCACGAAGCTTGTAATTTGTAATGATTTCTCATCACCGAACAAGTTTTCTTCCCTGTCATGGGAGATAACTGGGTGAGCCGTGTAACTGGAGTAAATCCCTTCAGCAGCAGGCGCCGGCTGTTGGGACAGGGCCACGGAGGAGCCTGGAAGGCTCTAGTGTTTCCAGCCACGCACACGTGATGCCGGCTGCATGACGGAGAACCCTCCCTGGAGATCACCTCTCACACTCAAGGCAGCTATTCCTGTGCCCACTGTTCATCAGTGAGGTCTGCACCCAGAGTCGATGGACACCATCCCGCTGACTGCAGCAGGATTCAGACCAGGTGATGGTCGAACAGCCCCCTGCCATGCACCCTGACGCTGCTCTCTGCCATTCCAGGAGATAACCCTTCTCTGCCCGCAGGGACGGGTTGCAGCACGTGGGTACGCACCCACCATGTGCGCTCCCTGCCCTGAGCTCCACGGAGCCAGGCATGGTCCCAGACCCCAGCAGTGAGGAACCCCTGCCGCTGCCCTGTGCTGTCTCCCCACGACGTTTGAGGCAGCTGTGCTATTCATTTGCTTTGTAAATTAGTCTCTCCAGCAAACGGTCCCCACCCTGCTCTTCCCCATATCAACTGAGACTGCACATCTCAAAAAGGGAGCAAAAGGGTGGAAAGTGAGTTTGCATGACCAAGGATGCCTGTTGAAGCGGTAGAGAGCCCAAATCTCTCAAGCTCTGCTAAACCTACCTTCCAGCAGGTCAATTTAGAGTGTTTTAATACTTGGAAAACCCCAAGTATTTGCCTTCCTACTGATCACTCCCGGACAGGAGAGGTTCAGGAGGCCGTTCAGACGTCAACTGTCCTGTAATTACAGTGTCACTAACCATGAAAGCCAGCAAGATTTTCCTTTTGAGCACTGGGAATGGAAAATAAAATGCCCCTGGAAGGCTTGTCAGATGGGAGAAAAGCCCATCTTCACAGGAGTTAGCTTATGACTTCTCTACTTACGAGGCTGACTTGGCTGCTCCCTCCCTCAACACACCGCCCCTGGGCACACGTGCTCTGTTCCCAGTCTCAGGCACACTGAAACATCACCACGGATGGTGTTGATGGGGAAGAGAGCCCTATTTTTTTGTGCCTTCACGTAATGACTGCTGGCTCGACACTCCTTGTACGCTTGTTCTTGCCTTATGTTTTTCCCTGGAGCAACAAAAGCTCGTGCTGTCTGCAAGAGGTCTATCCCTTCCAGTTACAAATGTGAAAGTCTCGCAGACTCTCCGCACAGGCCCGCTGCCAGTTCCACCAGATGTGCTTTGCTTCCAACAGATAGCAAACTGGCACCAACAGTGGTGCCAGTCAGCAACTTCACCTGCCTGCCAGGTGCCAAAGAGGGAAACTCCTGCACCCACCTCCCTCCGAGGGAAGCAAACTATGCAGAATCTCCTGAAATTCTCTTTCCTGTCTCCCCTTTCCTTACTCCATCCCTAATAACAGCGACTGGAGATCGCTTTATGAAGCCAGAACGTTACTGCCTTCTCACAACTACCTGAGTATAATGCCAGCCTGGCATGGGGACAGTGCTTTCTAGGAAGCAGTTGCTTAAGCTCTGTAGGTAATGCTCAAGAAGAGCTTTATGCTCTGCTTGGGAACAGCGCAGAGACGTTCATGCTCCTTTTGCAGCGCTTGTGCAGGGGAAAAATAAAGTCTGTTTGTTTGTTTTAAATCCATCAAATGATACAAATCGTACCCAGCTAGTACAAGAATTTCATTGTCAAGAGTGCTGGCTAGGCTGGAAACCTGCCTTTCAGTACTCACTTGTCTGACAAGGTTAAAGCAAATGCTACAGAACAAAAGCTCTCCTAGAGTCTAAAGTGGTGGAGCACAACAAAAAAAAAAATCAGAGAGAATAGGCAGCAACGCAAACCGAGAGAGAAGAAAAGCAAGAAAGTCTGCAGATCTCGGGGCACATCTCTAAGAAGTCACGAATGGCTTATTGAATGGCAAATGGCTCTACCTCAGCCCTTCTGCGATTCCTTTAGCAGCAAAGAACCACGGCGGGGTTCGACGCAGCTCCGCACGGCTGAGTGGATTAGCAAGGTGGGCACCCAGGCAGGAGCGCGGGGCACCGGCGTACGTGCCGAGGGAAGTTCAGAGCAGGAAAAGCAGAGAGGGGCTGAAAGCCAGATCCGAGATGCACAAGTGGAGTAACGTCTGAGGAGCACCCGTCTGCATTCAGCTTGCTTCTGGCCAAGCTGCTGACCTCTTGTTTCCAAAAACACTACAAAGCATTTAAAAATAGTCCTGAAAGTGCCTGGGATTTAAACTGTCAAGTTCCCTCTCCCGCTACAGCCCTCTCTTCCCCTGTGTTTTAAGTGCATATGCTGGATACACCACACATCCCTAAATGCTGACACTTCTTTTCCTGCTCCCAGCTGGGAGTCCCCATAACAATACAGACATAGCAGTGAAAAGGCCATGTGTAAATAAAACCACTTACATCTCCCCAGGGCTGTCCTTCGCAGATAATTAAGAAAAACCAAAGCAAATGACTGAAAGGACAAAGATCTGGCTGAGACACAAACACGATCAGCAAGTGCCTGACGGCAACTGGAAAGGATCCAGGTCTCATCGAGGCCACCATTTGTTCCCAGCCCAGGAGGGAAGGGCAAAATTCAATATCCCACATCCCGCTGAGAGCTTAAAAATGACCTGTCCCCCCTGAATGTTCCCTAACGCTCCAGCAGCAGGCTGCCAGCTACCAGGCAAAACCAAGAAGCTCAAATGGAAAAGAAGAGATGGTCTAACTAATCCGGCCATCCTATTGCGTTCTTCACATCAGCAAAGCACCTGGCTCCAGGATGCTGCCTGAGTAAAGACCCAAATGCCTCCTCTTGTGACTTCTCCTTAAAAAGAAGCTGGAAGAAGGTCACTTGGTATTTGGGGAGGACACGTAAATATAGGGTATGGATCAATCGTTTCCGATTTGCTCACTGAATGGAGTCTCTGACTCAGCAGCTATTAAGGCAACATGTAAAACTGCATACTGGTCTCATTTCCACCTTGGTCTTATATTATTCCCCTCTCTACAGCACCCAAATTGATTTCTTAATGAATAGCTGCTCATTTCACCATTGCCAGGAGAGCAAATCATTATTTGTCCTTTTAATTTATGGTCTCAGCAAACCAGCAATGGACTGAGCAGGCCACAGGGACCGAGTTCGCTAAGGCTGGACGAGCGACCACGTCAGGTTAGGACACACCAACACACTGCCAAGACCCTGGAGGAGACGCATGCCCTGCGAGCATTGCCCTGTGCCAAGGATGTACAGATGGCATCGATTCAGTCCCTTGCACCAGTGCCACATTTTACCTAGCAGGGGCACAGCGGGCACAAAAGGTGCCAAAGTCTAGGGAAGAATAAAACACAGAGCAGAGGGGGCAGCGCTGGTAATCCGAACACATATGTCACTGGATGCATGGACTGTCCTTGAGTGCCCTGCCTGGATGTGGGCTCTGCCCTGCTCTTTACAGGCACACGGGCCTCTTCCTAAGTGGGATCTTCTAAAATAATCTAGTGCTGCTACAGAGAGAACACAACAGAAAGGGAGATGTGCCACCTCCCAGAGAGGTCTCTCCAAAGAGGGACCGCAGCATCTCCTGTTTAGGAGACAGCACCGGGGACTGGTGCCAGCATCACCCCGTGGGTGCACCTGCATTGCGTGGGATCGTACAGAGCAGTACACACACAGGGCCACCGCGCCGCGGTGGAACAATGTCCAAGCTGATGCGGAGCTGCTGACACCCACCCTGCCTCAGAGCCCATCGTGCACAGAGGGTTCCATGCACACATCTGCTCACACTTTGATATGTCTTCGATAGGAAGGTTTCACAGAGTCCTCTCTCTAGTCCTCACTAGAAAAACACTCTCAAGCCTGCAGACGAGTCTAATAGCAGAACAGGAGTAAAAGAGTGAAAAGACTTTTGGTTTGAGCTGCAGGAGTCTCCTGCATGTTCCCCACCACATCCTCCAGCCACCAGCTAACAGCACGTACAGAAACACCTTCCATCTCAAGGAACAGCCCAGGTCAGAGGAAGGGACCGGGAGCCTTCGACAGAGCTGTTCAGCAAAACATTTATGTCTGAATTTCCACAGCACCGTGGCAGAGGCGGTGTGTTCACCGCATGTTCCCTCCCTTCTCTTTGCCCCACACCCCAGTTTCAGCTGCCTATTGGGGTCTTTACACCTCAGAGAAACCATGTCTTATTGCTTTTACTTTCTCGAGATATTCCCATGCAAACAGCACCTCTTTGGGAAAACCCTGTTGGACAGTTACAGGCTCACTCTCTTTTCCACAGGTTCCCAACCCTAAGAGCAAGTGCTAAAACACAGCCCTCCTACCAGAGCTCCAGGAAAGGGAGAGGAAAAGGGTTTATTGTTTGCTTCAGGTCTTTTATTGCTCCCAGCCACGTCTTTGCTCAATCACTGGGTGTGGGGAGGGGTCTCCTGCCTGCACAGCTGCATTTGACTTATGCTTTGTCCTTGTTCTTCCTCAATTTTCTGTGCAATCTGGAAGATTCTTCCTACTGAGATTCTCTTTTTTTTTTTTTTGTTCTCAGTAATTGTCACCTCACAATGCTGTCTGCCTGCCTGTGACATGCCCATTTAGTTAAACTGGCGAGCACACCAGTTAAGTTAACTGAATTACTTATCACATTCTGCTCACCTGCCCCCACCCTTTGCTGCATGACCAGAGAAGAAACCTTCTGTTTGCTATGGAGAGGGAAGCTTTTAG